TCTAGAAAACATGTTAGAAATTACTTGCATATTGAACAAAACTTCATGAATATTTTAATTTTATAGCTGCCATGTACAAAATGTTCATATAATATGCTAATTTTCATATGATTACACTTTGATTGGATGATTGAGATTTAAATGATCTTAAAAAAATCTGTAATTGAAAGATGGAAAGAGATCAAATTTCTGGTAGTATAACCGGGCTCCTTCCTACGCACTGGCAAGAGCGCCCCCTTTGGCATTCAAGAGAAATGGTCAGTAGGCCTCGAGGCTCTCACGCGACAGGAAGTACATCTCAACCGGTGCTGCTGCTGAGAAACGTTTAGTTTACAGTCTCTCACCCCGAGAGGAAATATATTTAGCACAACCCTGTGTATAAGTTGACCTACAGACTCTCAACCCTGAAAAAAAGTATATTTCGCTCATCTAATGCGTGCCTGAGTATCTTTATTCTCGCCTTATTCATGGAATTCTTCCACGAAGCTATAATTATCTGTCTTTTACTTTAAATTATGTGATAAATATTTATGTGTGTGGTATTTGTGCCCGTGTAAATAAATCTGTGTGATCTTAAACCTGTGTCTCAAGTCTCAACCCCATCTACACCAAGTTACAACTAGAGCTACACAACCCACAGCACTACAATCTGGCGCTCAACGTGGTGCCGCCCTTACTTGCCCACTACAGTAACAAAATTAGAAATACGCGATGACATTTATATAAACTATTGTATAAACCTCTTGTCTTTCAAGATTTTTTGGGATCAAATATCGAAGTATTTCTTACTTGTATTTCTACAATGAAATGTAGCAATACATCATTTGAAGAAATATTTTTGATACCGTTTAAATAAAAAAAATATGTTTGTATTTAAATAATTGCCAATAGTTCCAGTTTAACTCAAACTTGTTTAACTTTGCATCTAGTTTACTCAACTTAAAATTTAATTTCTTAAACTTATAATTTAATTTAATTTCTTAGACTTAAATTTTAATTCATTTTCCTGAAAAAGTACTAGTTTATTTTGTTATAATCTAATGAACATTCAACATATTATTACTATCAGGATTATTAATTCAATTCCAAAGCTCTTCGAGATTATTTTTTAAAAAAATAGTCATAAAATTGTACTCTCATAATAATAGTAGCAAGGGAAATTTAAACAATTGAATTATTGGCCAATACAGCTGCAATTTAATTTACAGCTCAAAATTATAAAGTCTTCAATCAAGATCAATGTTTCATGATATTTATCATTTGTTTTGATACATATTTCAATTTTTAGGTTAACCCAATTATTATGAATTATAACTATTTTATTAATTTCATCCGCTTTTCGAAAAAATTGTTTTATTTCAATTGGATATCAACCCATTGTAAAAGTAAGATGTAATAAAAAGAGTTTTCAAGCAAAGATAGAGTTGCGAGTTAAATTTCAAGCAAAGATCGAGTTCTTGAAATTTAACTTGGAATTCATTAGAATCGAGTTCAAAGGAATAAGAAAATGGTGCAATTACATTTGCAAAACATTTTAAGTGTAACAGAATGACCCTGTCAAGAATTTAGTAGCTTATTTCTGAAAGTAATTTTCACGGTGAATCTTATGCTAATGTTGATTCTTGGAAATCATAAAACTGTGAACGTAAATGGAAAAATTATGTGAGAAATAACTTGGAATTCTTCTTAGCAGAAAAGGTACCATAAGATCAGCAGCTCGAGCCATTGAAGTTTCCAAATTCACATTATTCCCAATTTTTAAAACAAAAAAATCCGTAAAACGGGAAAATCCATATCCATTTTAACGTAGGGAAATTAAATTATCCATTAACAAGTAGGGAAAACAAAGCTTTGCAGCCAAGGGATCCTACCTATATGTTTTAAGTGCAGTAATGAAATTAACGAAAAGTCCAAAAACTATTTGATTATACAAAATAAAAAACTAGAAATCATATTTTTAATTTAATGTAAAATTAAATATGTAACCATGCTCCCTCCTAAATACTGGCAAGAGTGGTGGAAGAACGCTACTTGTGGCGTTCAAGAGAAAGGTCAGTAGGCCTTGAGACTCTCACCCAAGAAGCGCAACCACACACTTCTGTTGAGAAATGTTTAGTTTACAAATGTTTTAGGTTTATCCCTCACCCCTGGAAGAAATATATTTAGTGCAAACTTGCGTATTAGGTGGGCTACAAACTCACACCCGGAGAAGAAGCATATTTCGCTTATCCTGCGCATAGCTGAATATCAGGTTTTCGACTTGGAATGCTTCGAATTTTGAAGTACTTCCACAAATCTATAATTATATGTCTTTAAATGTGTTAAATATTGTATATCTTTAGTTGTATGAAAGTGGTATTTGTGCTTGTGTCAATAAAGCTCTGCCTCAAGTATCTCAACCCAACCACACCCAGTTACAATCTGGTTGTCAAACCTGCCCACTACAAAGCTAGTTTTTTGATGATAAATATTGCGGACTGTATTTATTTTCTTTTGCTACTTTTACTATGGGAGAAACTGAATTCATCAATTGCTACTATTATTATGGGACAAAGGGAGTACAAATTTTAAGAGATGAAAGATTGAAAGCAATGAAAATTTTATTTTAAAATAAAAATTGTATAGATATTTAAATAAATTGATTCAATTAAAAATACACTTATTACTCACTCTTGCTATATTTTTAATAAGTTCCCAAGGGCTTTCCTGGTTATCCATTGCTCTTTCGTGAACAGCTTGAAAAAAAGAAAAAAGTGAGTTGGTGCTACTTATTTACAATAATAATGTCATTTAATAATAATATTATGTAGCAACCTTTTACAGATATCGATTACATACTGTTATATCATGACTGTAGGAATTGCAATACAGTATGATATGCAATATGCAATGGTAGTATGAAATTTAATACAGTATGCAATAATAGCATGAAATGCAATACAGTGTGCAATGACAGTATAAAATACATTATGTAATGACAGTACGAAATGCAATACAGTGTGCAATGACAGTAGGAAATACAGTATGAAGTGACAGTATGTAATACAATGAAGGGACAAATGTTTAGAAATGTGTTAATCATTATTAATTCTGAAAAAAGTTCTATTAAGTTTACAAAATATTTGTTTCTGCAGTTTTTATAAAAAATTTATGAAGATTTAAATAAAATTTACACGGCATTTCAAAATGTATATATTTTTCTATGGTTCTGAGACTGTTACATTTATTTTTTTTTTTCAGTTATATTTTAATACAAAATTTTACTAAGTTAAATTTGGAGATGTACTCCTTCAATGTTTTATTTCTCTTATCAATTTTTTAAATTTTTTATACGTAAAGCTTTAAAAAAACTCATTTACTTCCAAACTCAATCACAAATACAAGAATTTTTTTTATATAATTATTAGAATTATCAAAATAATTAAAATTTGTGATGAAGTTTAGATTTATTTTATTAAATCAAAATAAAACAGTGGAAATGTCTTATTTTTCAGAATAATATATTAAATTATCCCAACTGAAAATTTTGTCCTGATCAATGTATTTTTGAGAATATTTTATACTAAGTTAAATAGTTCAGTTGGTTAATAATAAGTTAAATAGTTCATTAACTTAGTATAATATAAATATTCTATAAGTTACACTAAGTGTTAATTTTTACCTGATCTATGTATTTCTTGAGGATATTCTACGTTAAGTTAAAATAGCAATAGTGTTATGTAAAGCAATACATTTTATTGCACATGTATAGTAAATGGAATGAAAAATTTATATTTAAGTTATTATGAGCTTAAATCAATACTGATATTACATAACTACCATTATAATAACCTACAATTCAAGTATACATGCAACTATACACTTTTTTGTAAGAAAGGGATTTATTTTTTAAGGCTCAGAAAATGAAAATAAACAAACTTATTTACTTCCTTTGTCTAGCGACACCTCACTCAGGCGATATTTCATGACATCAGAAGGATCGAGACCGAATTTTTCTAAGGCCCGTTCCATCACATCGTTCACTTCGTCATCACTGGTCACTTGAATGACCTGATGACCTTCAATATTCCTAGAAAATAATTTATTTCACGTGTAAAAAAGTTCGCGGGTTTTAATTGTCGTGATATATTATGAAGATTAACAAAAATTTATGGCATTCTTATAAAATTCTTTGTTTGAATTAAGCTGCATGGAATAAATTGCACCGAATCTTAGATCACTATAGTGTAAAAAGAAGCAAGAGTTCGAGACATACAATGAGAAATATTACCATTCATTATTTCATTTAATCAAATTTTAAGGAAAAGATACTAAAAATATATTATTCATGCAAGCTAAAGAGAAAAAAAAAGCCTGAGAGACGTTTACTAATAAAAATTCTTCAGATTTTTCTAAATGGTTTAATTGATCAATTTGATTTTTTTGTCCTTAAACAACATAAAATATCAATAACATTAAAAGAAGAATTAATTCATCGAATTTAGTAAGCCATTCATTTTATGCAATGTATTTTACGTAATTTTAGAGGATGCCGATAAAGGGTGATTATAAAAAAACTTGTTTAATATGTTTTAATATTTAGGTAAGAGGTAAATTATATCGAAAAAATTTAAAATATTTTTTTTTTATTTATTCTGAACAAACTGCTTAATTTATTACAAAGAGTAAATTTCACCAAATATTGTTTTAAGGTAAATTAATATAGGTCATATATGAAATTAATATTTGTTGTTGTTTCTTATCCCACTTGGCTGGCCAAGCCCACGAACCCATACGTACTCATGATTGAAGGGGAAGGAAGCAGCTTCTGTTGTGATGGAGCACCCGTAGGTAGAAGTCTGACTTTGGCTCCGTGACACTCTTACAGTCATAGGAGGCTGGGACTTACGGCTTAAAGTGGATTCCGAACCACTACAAGCATCCATGACACCGCCGGGATACGAACCTGAAACCTGGGGCGCTAGACACTCGACCGTTCAGGTCCCAAATTTGTGAATGCCAACGGCACGCAGTGTTCCCAGGTGGTCACCCACCCAAGTACTGACCGCACCCAATGATGCTTGACTTCGGTGATCTAACGAGAACCGGTATATGATTGAAGGGGAAGGAAGCAGCTTCTGTTGTGATGGAGCACCCGTAGGTAGAAGTCTGTATGGGTTAGGGTTGGGGCTAGGTATGGGTTGGCTGTTAGGGTTGGTATGGCCGTTGGCTATAAAAAAACTTTCACGATATAAGTCTCTAGTTATCGTACCATTCACAGAAACCGAAAGAAATTTTGGTTTACAATATTTTGAGTTATGCGCTCAAGAATTATAGAAAAACATCAGTTACTGTTACAGTGATACGTTTTCGAATACTTCAAATGACAATTTTTATTAGAATGTGATCTCCATAATGAAAAACTATAATTAGGGTTGGGATGGTACCTGCAGCACGAAATTCCCCGGCTCTAGCAGATTGAGAAGAAAAGTGAAAACAACCAATAAAGTCTGGGAAACAACAAAAAGCAAAACATTTCATTCTGTTTCACAAATTTTCCATGCTATCTCCTTCACATAGAGTGACGCTTTGCATGCGGCAGATGGTGGGTAGCACTGAAGCACGTACCATGGCAAGAAACATCTATTGGACCTGACGTCTGATGGCATTTTTCAAATCAGATGCAGTTTGCAGATTAAATGCATATACTTTAAATTTCAGGTATCCCCACAGCTAAAATTCCACTGGAGTGAGATCAGGGAACCTTGGTGGTCACGGAAACGTAAAATGGTGGAAATAATTCTATCATCAAACTGTTGTGTCAAGAAACGTTTAACAGAAGACCTCAGAAATGAGGGAGAGCCATCTTGCATTCTCACGTCAACAGTCAGAGCATTTACTTGCAGGAATACTTGAAATTTAAAATATATGCACCGAATTCATAAACTGCACCTGATTTACGAAATACTATCAGACGTTCAGGTTCAACAAATTCTTGCCGTTGTACGTGCTTCAGTGCTATCCACACTCTGCCGCATGCAAAGTGGCATCGTGAGTGAAGGAGGTAGCATGGAAAATTTGTGAAACAATGAAATGTTTTGCTTTCTGTTGCTTCTCAGTCTTTATTGGTTGTTTTCACTTTACTTCTCAGTCTTTATTGGTTGTTTTCACTTTACTTCTCAATCTTTACTGGTTGTTTTCACTTTTCTTCTCAGTCTGTTTAGTGCCGGTTAATTTCGTGCTACAGGTACCGTTCCAACCCTATTTATGGTTTTCCATTATAGAGATTAAAAAAAATAGGTTTTGTCATTTGAAATTTTCAAAATCGTGTCACTGTAACCGTAATTATTAGAATTTAACTGTTGTTTTTATATGATTCTTGAGCTCCTACCTCAAAATATCATAAATCAAAATTTTATTCAGTTTCTGTGAATAATAAGTTAGCTAGGGATTCATATATAGAGGAAGGCTTTTATAATCACCCTGTACATAACCATATTTAAACCAATATATTAAACAGTTTTGATTGTAATGTTTTGAATTATAAGGCCAAAAGAGCTCAATGCTTAGATTTCAAGTAATAGAGTTGCATAAATAAAAAATGTAAAGTTTAGTTTCATAGCGATAGAACAATGCATTCCAATGGGAATTACTTAGCAGACAAAATGACCAGAAAAGGGGAAAATTTCTTGAGAAACCGCAAGTACATTTTCTTGGAATAGCTGAATCAGTCAGACAGACCTCCAGAGGAGAAACAACAAGGATTAGAACGGAAATAGACCAAGATAAACTGAACTGGTAATTCTTGAAAAACAGATTTCATGAGAACTCTCGGCGGGGTTCGTATATAGAGAAAGACTCTGAGACCAAATATTAAATTGGATTGAGAGTTAGAGAGATAGAGTCAACAGTCCAGTGAGGCAGTCCATTGTTACTGAGAGGGCACCTAACCTTCAAGAGAATTTATTTAAAAGATCTTTGATGATATATTCCTTGTGTTTATTATTATATATATTATATACATAATAATAAACACAAGGAATAGCTTGCATATATTAGAAACACAAGGAATAGCTTTCTTTCCAAAACCCAATAAATTATATGACAACAAAACATGTCATTTAATTATTTTAAAAAAGAAAAGTGAGTTTCCACCCCCAGAACAAATAATTTTGCGGAATCAAGACAAGAATACCCTAGTGTAGTTCTCTAATGTTTTAATATTTATACAAATGAATTTCTGTCTTTACTGGATTTGAGATTAGATGACTAGATTTAATAATTTCGATAAAAAGGCATCATAATAAAGTGTTGCTATATTTATTTTTGTGTGTATCTAATTTTCTTAAAAATTTCTTGAGGCAAATTTCTTACCCTAATTTTCCTGGATAAACTTTGATGTACCCTGACTCTGGATCGGGCGAGCGAAACCTGATAAATATCGCCGCTCTGCCATCCTTTCGGGTTAGGTTTTGGAGCGGAGTCAGACTGTCTAGTTCTTTTTCATTAGGATCTGAAAGAAAAGGAGGAATAGCTTTCAATTATTTTAAATAGCAATTCAAAATGTACTTTAGTAATTCCTTTAAAAATATATATTTATTTTTTTAAATTTTTGTTGAATAAACTAATACTCTTACTAAAGCATGAAATTGCTTTAAATTATTTAAACAATATTACATAGTACAGTAAAAACAGTTCTGATTTATTTTAAAGATTATTATTAAAATATAAAATTAATTAGGATATATTTTTTTTAATTTCTCTTATTCGTTAGTATGGACAGAGAAGATAACAGTTGTTAAGATATACAGTACCAACAGTAGAATAATTCTTAATAAATTGCTCTTGATATACCAAACATAAACCCGTTAAAAAATAGTTAACTCAAATATTATATTACGATAGGATCATAAGATTTGGTCGATGGTAACTCGAGAAAATATTATATTACACTCATGTCCATAAATTAAGGATAATTCAGAATCACACAGAAATTGAACTCTAAAATAAAAATTTCACCTGTAGAATTATCACACACATCTTAAAGAAGAATACGCAAATTACAGGAAACCACCAGATGGCGCGGATAGTACGTCACAATGACGAGAGCGTAAGAGAGGGGTATATAAGGAATGGTGGCAAAGAAGTAATATTGTTCACAAGCGCTTTAAAAGCCTTTCAGTGCAACAACCGCATATTTATGGCACAAAGGAAGCATTTGGATGATTTTTTACGTGGTAGAATTATCGGACGACTGGAATGTGGACGTACCCAGCTGGAAGTATCCGAGGAACTTGGAATCGCCCAGAGTGTCATCTCCAGGCTTTGGCAACGATTCCAAGATGATGGTAATGTAAGTAGATGTTACAGCACAGGTCGCCCCCGAGTTACAACGCCGAATGAGAACCGGTATTTAGCAGTTACTGCCAAAAGAAACAGACGGAGCACAGCATCAGACCTGTCTCGTCAGCTCTCTTCAGCTACCGGTACGACAGTTTCAAGGCAGATCGTGTGCTTGATGAGTGGTGTAATATTCCCCAAGATCAGATTGATAATTTGATACTCAGCATGCCTAGGCGTTGTAAGGCCTGTATTGCATCGTCCGGGAGACATACTCCATATTAACCATCATACTAACCATGTTATACTGTTTTTTGTAAATAGGTTCTTTTTTTAAATTTGCTCCAGGGAGTAAAAATCGCAATTTTTATTAATTATGTCAAACATATAGCATCTTTTTTGCTCTTTACCTTTTGTTTAATAAATAGACTTTACAAATAAGTCAAATTTGTTTTGCTTCTGTCTCTTTCTTTGCCTGAACTTCATTATCTTAATTTATGGGCATGAGTGTACTATAGAATCATAACATTTGGTTGATGGTAATTCACTAAAATATTATATCACAATAGGATCAGGACATTTGGTCGATAGTATCACCTCTTTAGATCAATTTTTAAATCACATAACTCCCCATATTTATGCTTGTATCACTTCCATAAGAAATTTCATTAATATTATTTTATATACTTGTTTCTCCTAAAATTTCAAATTCCTACTTCTTATAGATTCGTAATGAAGCATAAAATGTTTCGTTGCTTACTTTACACTTAACTTACTTTACACTTTTACATTTTATTACACTTAATAATAAATAACAATAACCTACACAAATTCTCATTACAATATAAATTCAATAAACCACGTTGAAAATAACAATAAAATTATTTTGTAACTTACACGTACTATATTTGGAAATGTATATAACTACATTAATTAAATCATATGTTACTTAAATTCGTACATACCATATGCATCTGTTATATAGTACAACCTTAAATCATCATATACATGAAATGCCCTTAGAGCCGCAGCCTGAAAAAAATGTCATACAAAGTAAAAAAAAGCCTTTTCATACTATAGATGATTAGAATTTTATAAATGTCAGTATTTTTCAAATGGAATTAGCAAATCGTAATAACAAGATAAATAATAAAGTAAATAATGAGTAATAATAATAAGATGAAATGTAGAGTAAATAAGTAATAATAAAATAAAATGTTTTTTGATAAAATATAAGTATGCATAATCAATTTCAATAATAAATAAGTTAAAAATATTAAATTCCAAACTATTAAAAGGTAGGATTTTAGGAAACGAAGTGATAAGGATAATAAAATGAATGAATAAGGATAAGAATGAATGAATAAAGATAAAGATTATGAATAAGTATAAGGATAATAAGAATGTATGAATAAGGATAAGGATAATAAAATTCGAATACTCACAATCACTTGCTCTTTGGATGCATTTCTTGGCATGGTGATTGTCCTAGACATTTTAGTTTTCATAGATCCATTCCCATCAAATACTTTTATAGTTTCTACGGAAAAAAAATACAAATTTTTTTTTTGTTTTATTTTTCATATAATACAAATTAAACCTTTTATACAGTTATAACTTAAAATAAAACCAACAAAAAATTTTATTATGTGTTATTCATTTCTTTTTTAACAACAGTTTTGTTACAAAATTTTCAGTTGCAGATGGAAAAAAATCAAATAAAAGTCAGTTGTAGGTAAATTAAATAATTATGAGTTTTCTTTTAACTTTGCTATCGT